GATCGAATTTGTAAGAGAGGTAGTGGTGTCCTGCTTGCAGTAAGTACTGAATTAAATGCATCAATTATTAATTCTCCTGAGTTGAGTTACAATAGCGAAAATATTGATTTACTTGCTTTATTGATTTCTAAGAACACTTTTTCTTTTATACTTCTAACAATTTATATTCCTCCCGATATTTCTTTACCACTTTACAAAAAAATTTTATCTAACTTACAGTTTGAACAAAGGTTATTATCACATCCTTTAGTAATTGTAGGTGATTTCAATTGCCCGTCGTTATGTCAATCCTCAAATAAACATAATAGTGATGTAAAGTCTTTAGCTATACTTAATTTTTTAGCATTTTTTAATTTATCTCAAATAAACGGTATTAACAATAAATTTAACAAAATCCTTGACCTTGTTTGTACTAATGAAGATTGTACTATAATAAAAGCACACTATCCCATTGTACCTAAAGATTTATATCACCCTGCTCTTTCAGTTGAAATAACTTTCAAGTCAACACACTATTTTCACAAGTCGTCTTTCAACAACAATGTAACTACCACCTCTCCAACGTTTAATTTCAGTCATGCTGATTTATCTGGACTGTATGTTTTTTTGTTGGGTATCGATTGGTCCAACCTAAATGAATTTGATGATGTAAACTTGGCGTATGATTATTTTATTTCAATTATTAATGATGCATTTAAACAATTTATACCTTTATATAAAAAATGTGTACAACGTAAGCGTCGTTATCCGCCTTGGTTCGATCAATCGATAATTAATGACATCAAATTCAAGAATAACCTTTTAGAGAAGAAAAAATTTAACTCAGAATATTATAATTCTCAAATAACAAAGACTTCTGCGAATTTACATAAACGTATTAGATCCAATCATCGTTCTTATTTAATTTCAATAGAAAATGACCTAAAAGATAACCCCAAAAATATATATAAATATATATTAATAAAAATAAAACACAACCAAAAATTCCAGACTTAATGTATTATAATAATCTAGCATTGGATGCTCCTGAAATGATTGTAGATGCTTTTGCTGACCTATTTTAAAAAGCCTGTCAAGCCACAACCACCTTGGATGATAGTACACATTCTAATAATGACATTAAATATTATTGTAACGACACCTTCTATGTTAGTCGAGAGCAAGTACTTAAAGCTGCTAAATCGTTAAAACGAAATTTTGTTTCGGGCCCAGATAAAATCCCGGCTTTTTTTGTAAAGGACTGTGCCTTTGCTTTGACCGAACCTTTAACTTTAATTTTTAATTTAGCTCTAAGAACAGGTATCTTCTCGTCTGACTTGAAAGTAGCTAAGATATTACCAGTTTTTAAATCTGGAGATAATACCAATGTTTGCAATTACAGACCAATTGCTTTGATACAAAACTTTGCTAAAGTGTTTGAGCGCACAATTATTGAATTTATCCAGCACTCTTTATCTCCAATTATAATTAATCAGCAACATGGATGCGTTCGTAACCGTTCAATATTAACCAATTTGTCTGTGTTTGCACACATTGTTAACGTTGCTCTTCAAAAGGGTTTAAAGGTTGATGTAATCTATTTGGACTTTGCAAAAGCTTTTGACACTATCGACCATAAAATTTTAACCTCAAAATTACTTTTACTTGACATACCTACTAACCTTAGATTATTAATTTTAAATTATTTGCAATACCGTTCACACCGTGTTACCCTACAACGGGTGTACCGCAGGGCTCGTCATTTGGTTCACCTTTATTTAACATCTATATCAATAATATATCTACTGATATTGAATCTTTTATTCTACCTTTTGCGGATGACGTTAAACTGTTTAAGGTTATTTCATGTCCTCAAGATACATTAACACTCCAAGATGACTTAAATAAAATTATCTCATGGTCTGAAACAAATTTACTACCACTCAATACTAAAAAGTGTCATGTCTTATCTTTTACTAGGTCACATGATCCACTACACATTTTGTATAAAGTCAAAGATTTTAACCTAGATAGAGTTTTTTCGACTTGTGATCTCGGCGTCATTTTCGATTCTAAGCTTTCTTTTGTTGAACATATCACCAAGGTGGTTGCATCAGCGTCAAGATCTCTTGGTTTCCTTTTCAGATCTACGCGATTTTTTAATAATCAGAAAACACTAAGTGTATTATATAAATCCTTAGTTCTTTCTAAAATAATGTATGCCTTTACTATTTACAACCCTTATTTCGATAAATATGAGCAAGATCTGGAAAGAATTCAAAAAAGGTTCTTAAAATATTTAGCTTTTAAAAAGGACGGATGTTATCCACCACAGGGTTCTGATTACACTTGCCTTTGTCAAAGATTTAAATTTCAAACCTTATATAAAAAACGAATTCTAGCAGCTACAATTTTTATATCTAAAATTTTAAACTCTCAAATACATTCACCTCAATTATTATATGATATTAATTTAAGAACTCCTAGAATTGCGTCTCGTAACTTTGAACCTTTTTATTTACCCCCACCAAAACTGTCTATTGGTCATTCAGACCCGTTATTCTTTGCATGTAATCATATAAACCGTATGTATAGACTAATGAACCCTGACTTGGATCTATTTTTCGCTTCTGTTAGCCAATTTACTAATGCCATCAATAATTACATTGATCAATTTTGTGAATCAAAACTATAACGATTCTTTATATTGAATATGATAATTTATTCGAGCAAATTGTAAACGTCTTGGTTATATTCAAATGTTTATTTTCTTATATTTTTATATTCTTTATACTACTGTATTATATTTCAATTCATTGTATCCTGCTGATCACTTGGCAATATTTTTGTATCCCATTTATGGTCCCCCAGGACTGCGGGTTGAATTTTTTGTAAATAAATAAATAATAAGTTATATAGTTTCTATGTTGTCCTTTTTTTTAACAATTGAATTTTTGAAGATTGTTTAATGAGATAAATTAAACTTGTATAATCGATGCAAATTGTTTTTTTTTAATTAAATTCAATTAAATTAATTTAATCATAATTTTAATAAAGAAAACTTTTTTTATCTTTCTTTATTTTATTATTATTTATTTTTAATATAAATGTAATTAAAAGAAAAGATTTATTTAAAAGTATTTTAAAAACAACCATTTTCATCGATTATACAAGTTTAATTTATCTCATTAAACAATCTTCAAAAATTTAATTGTTAAAAAAAATGACAACATAGAAACTATATAACTTATAAATTAATTAATTTTTCAATTTACAATTGAAAACGAGAATTTTTAAAAAGGAGAAAGTATGAATGCTGCCACCTACCGTGCAAAGTCGGTGGCTCAACTTCTTTATCGACTATCAATTTGGATGTCACTTGAAAATTCCCTAGCCTGTCAAACTCACTTACGCAATCATTTTACACTTTAAACTTTATTTATTTAATAATAACACGTTAATTTATCACAAATCTATCACTAAATACTTTTTTTATTCAATTCAATTATACTTTTCCACAGTTTCCACTCAGTTTCTACACAATTTTCACTCCAACTAAATGTTTAACCAATGTGTAACGAATGTACAACGAATACAGCGTACATTCCGATTTCGAGATCCACCAGTGATTAGGTGAACAAAGATCGACATAAAATTCAACTTCTTGGTTCACTTATTGATTATTACAAGGAATATTATTTCGAGTTGGAAATTCTACAATCCATCAAAGCCAAAAAAACTGCCAGCAGAGTAATTAACTTTTCATCGGGTGACTCATCAACATCAATTAAAGTAAGCCGATTAAGTATTCAAACCGATTAAAAGATTGTAAATATTAATTATGGACAAAGATGAAGTTGAAACTGCTCGACAAATTCGAACAAATTGCAAAACTAAGATAACAAAATTTAGCACTTTTTTAGACAAATGTATAAATGATAATCAAAATATTACTGCCGAGGAGATTCAACTTCGTTTGAAAAAACTAGAGGAAACGTGGAATGAGTATGATAGAGCGCAATTAGTTTTAGAATTAAAGGCTCCGTCACCGAGTCGTGAGATAGAGAGATCAGAATTTGAAAATAATTATTTCAAGTGGGTAGCTTTGGCTACAAAATTAGTAAAGGAACGTTTGACTTCTGTCTCTGTCGGTCACGATTCGGTGTCGGAAAATAGCGGAGTAACACGACAGCGACAACATATCGCACAGCTTGAGGCGGAGCTTCGCGCACAGCGCGATGCTCAAATTAAACATTTGAGAGGTTTAGCAGGTTCGCGAGCAGCGAATGCTGATATCAACATAGGTCCGATTAGAACACATTTCCCACTTCCTAAACTTGATCTCCCCACTTTCTCAAGCAGATACGAAGAATGGTTGGGTTTTAAAAATACCTTTACAGCAATTATTCATAAAGACTTGTCAATTCCTAAAGTTCAGAAGTTGAGATATTTAAAATCATATATCAAGGGAAGCGCAGCTCAAGTGATTGAAAATATTGAAATTTCGGAAGCTAGCTACGATGAAGCTTGGAAATTGTTGGAAAACAGATATGACAATAAAAGAGTTCAATTCAAAATCACATGATGGCTTTATTTGATTTAAAAACACATTCTTTTATGAATTGTTAGGTAGAAGCAAAATTCCTCTATTAATACCACATACTTCACTTCAAAGTACAAAATTAGGGTGGATTGTAACTGGAAGTACAATTCAAGGACAACCTCAACAAAAATTATCCTGCAACCTAGTGAGAGACTCATTATCACGCCAGCTAGAAAAATTTTTGGAAATTAGAAGAAGACAAGGAAGTTAAATATATTTCAAAGGAAGAGGAAAAATGTGAAACTCATTTTTTGCAAAACACTCGACGTGATGCCTTTGGAAAATATATTTTGCGACTGCCATTCAACGAAAGAATCGATGAGTTAGGAGAATCATATGAAATGGCAAGAAAAAGGTTCTTCATGCTGAAGAGAAAATTGTCAAAAATTTGGACCTGAAAGAAAAATACCATAACTTTATGAGGGAATACGAAAAGTTGAATCATATGGAAGTTTCAAAGGGGAAAAGAGACGAAGGTAATTATATGCCACATCATGGAATAATAAGAGAATCTAGCATCACGACGAAGTTGAGGGTGGTATTTGATGCATCAGCGAAGACATCAACTGGAGTGTCCTTGAACGAGACTCTGATGGCGGGTCCACAAATTCAAGATAACATTGCCACGCTGCTAATGAGATTTCGAAGTCATCCTATAGCATTGACTGCAGACGTGGAAAAGATGTATCGTCAGTTTTGGATTCATGAGGATGATCAAAAGCATCAAAAGATATTGTGGAGATTCAGAGAAGATGAACCAATAAGAATCTACCAGTTGAAAACTGTGACGTATGGCACGTCAGCGGCGCCTTTTCTTGCTGTTCGGTGTTTAAAGCAATTAGCAATGGATGAAGGGGCTTTATATCCAGAGGCTGCAAGGATTCTCATCGAGGATTTCTATGTGGATGATCTTATGACGGGAGCAGATTCTTTAAAAGAAGCTAAAAAATTGCAGGCAGATCTTTGTGGTCTGACATCAAAGGGAGGAATGCATCTGACAAAATAGAGATCAAACAATCAACAGATCATGCAAGAAAATAAGGATGCTGGAATATTAAGATTGGATCTGGATCAGGCATCAAAAACATTAGGAGTGATGTGGGATTCTCGGAAGGATCATCTTTATTTTAAAGTGAATATAGATCTTCAAGAGAAAGTAACATCAAAGCGAAATATGCTCTCGCAGATTGCGAAGCTATATGATCCATTAGGCATCATTGCTCCTGTTATAGTTTTCGCCAAGATAAAAATGAAGGATTTATGGAAATCAAAGGTATCATGGGACGATCCGGTTCCATCAACAATATTATCAGAGTATGAAAGATATCAAGAGCAACTTTATCTGTTGAATGATTCGAGGTTGGAAAGAGCTGTTCGACATCAAGGAATTGAAGAGATTCAGATTCAAGGATTCTCAGATGCGAGCGAAAAGGCGTATGGAGCCGCAATTTATATCAGAACAAAAATCAATGGAACATATCGATCTAATCTTCTCTGTGCCAAGTCCAGAGTTGCTCCAGTAAAGGTTATAACTCTTCCTAGACTGGAGCTTTGTGCTGCCGTGCTATTGGCTCAACTACTCAAAACAGTAAAGGAATCAATTAAAATCATAGTGGATCAGATCAATTTGTGGTCAGACTCGACAATAGTTCTAAACTGGATAAATTCATCTCCACATGAATTTAACACCTTCGTCGGAAATAGGATCTCAGAAATTTATTCATTGACTTCAGCAGAGAGTTGGGGTTTTCAGAAGAGATTCATTCAGTTTCCAGGAATGAAGATGTGCCAAAAAATCAAAATTACTTCGCCTCAATCCAATATGGAAGGAAGGATTGCTAAGGGTGGGGGGTAGAATAGGGGAATCAGAATTACCTTATCAACAACAACATCCAATCCTATTACCTAAACAACATCCCTTTACTGACCTTGTGATTAGAGATTGTCATGAATCCAATATGCATTCTGGAATTAACGCAACATTGTACGCGATGCGAACAAAATATTGGCCTGTTGACGGAAGAGCGGAAGTGCGAAGGATTCTAAATGGTTGTATGAAATGCTTTCGCGTGAAGCCCAAGGAACCGTCATATCTTATGGGAAACTTACCAAGAGTAAGAGTTACTGCGTCTCGACCATTTGAAAATAGTGGAGTGGATTATTGTGGTCCATTTTTCGTAAAGGAAAAGCGAGTAAGAAATAGAGGTCGATTTAAAGTTTATGCAGCAGTATTTGTATGCTTAAGCACAAAAGCTGTACATATCGAATTGATCGGGGATCTTTCTACTGAGCTTTTTTTGGCAGGATTGCGTAGATTTTTTGCAAGGCGAGGAAAATGTCGTACCTTATTCTCAGATAATGGGACTAATTTCGTTCGGGCAAAAAACGAATTAAAGGATCTTTACAGTCTGCTTAACGCGAAAGATCATAATGATTTTATACAAAAAACTCTTGCAGATCAAAATATTGAATGGCATTTTATACCACCACGAACACCACACTTCGGTGGTATATGGGAAGCGGCTGTAAAGTCCCTAAAAAATCATTTGCGTAGGACTATCGGCGAGACTTTGTTTACGTATGAAGAATTGTACACTTACATGTCTGAAGTGGAGGGAATTTTGAACTCCAGACCACTCACGCCTATCTCATCTGACCCAAATGATTTTCAAGTTTTGACTCCTGGGCATTTTTTAATTGGGGAACCTATAACTTCTATTCCATCACTGGATTATTCGCAGGTTCAAAACAACAAGTTGTCAAATTGGCAAAAATTACAAAAAATAAAGGGGGATTTTTGGAAAAGGTGGGCTTATGAATACTTAAATGAATTAAATATAAGGGCAAAATAGTGCACGAGTTCAAAGGAATTAATTAAAGAAGGAATGTTGGTAGTACTGAGGGACGATAACTTGCCTCCCTTACGATGGAACTTAGGAAGAATAATAAAAGTACAACCGGGCGAGGATGGCATAATTCGCGTGGTAAAAATAAAAACAAAATATGGCATGTTTAGTCGCGGAGTGAAAAAAATCTCTCCACTACCGATTGATGTTATGGATGATTGAACTTGATCGTTCAATGGGGGGCAATATGTTGCTTCGCAATTTTCGATTTATAGAAAAAGGGAAATATTATAATTTGACAATTTCTATTGCAAAAGAATAGACGTATGAGTCATCAACACTCGTTAAGAAATATAATAAAATGATTAATCAGTACTCGATCCGACTTTGTAACGGGCAGTTGACGAGCAGAGTTTTTATTTTTAATTGAATAATAATTATACTTGTATGGAGTTTATTTCATGTGGAGTGACTAAATTTTATATAACAATTGACTTTTCTTTCGACATAAAAAAAAACAAAATTATATATTAACAAGTTTTGGTTGCTATTGTAATTTAAAATTATTGATGAACAAAAAATAAATAAATAAATTGTAATGTATAGTGAATATTGTGAGTTTCATTAACTTATTCTACGCCAATCTACAAAGAGTTACAACAATAAGAAACAAAGAAACAATTTTGGCTTTGTACGATTGTTCATATTTTATAAATTATATTGCAGATGATTGTAATATGTAGAAAAACTATAATCTGTCATAATTAAAATTGTTTATAAAAATAAATAAATTTTTAAATTCTTCTGTTTAGAAAGAGTCGGTCACTCTTCTGGCAAGAGCCGTATATTGCTCTAGCACTCCTCTTCCATTTGTCGAGAACAATCACTGGATAAATTTTTTTGAATAATTGAAACCGTCTTTTAAAGTCTCATCTCGTTTCGAATTATCCAATGGTTTACTAAATGCTGAATATTCTCGCATTAAAGATGCTGTAAGAGAAAAAATTGAAACTGCCTTCTGTTTGGCACTTCAAATGGATAGTTGGTCAAATATTCAGAGGCAAGGGATAATTAATAATAAGTGTACTTTGAGAAATATTAATAAAGATTAACTATTATTTATTTTAATTTTAAAATTTATGAAAAACGGTTTTTTGCCCATAATTTTCAAAAAATGTTAGGACACCTGTGAATGTTTTTCTTTAATTTTGTAGAGTTTTTTAAGACGCACCTTTTGAGATGTTAGTGAATATTCTACTGATATTCAATCCAAAGTAATTGAATTTTTAATAATTAAAGAAAAACGTTTTTGGCCCATAGCTTAAAAAAATGTTTTGACACCAACATATATTTATCTCTAGTTTTGTAGAGTTTTTCAAGACGTATCTTTTAAACTATTAGCGAATATCCTACTGTTATTTTGTCCAGAGTTATTAACATTTTGAAAATGAAAAATTTTGAAAAACCTGTTTTTTTGCCTTATTTATTAAAAAATATTTATGCATTTTTAAAAGTATTAAAGAAAAATACCCACATGTCACGCCTTATGGATGTCTGCTTCATGACATGCATTTGTTTTTTAAAGACATTTGTACTCAAATAGCAACCATTTCAGAAATACATAGTCATTGCTCAAAAATCGCAAAAGAAATTAAAGGCAGTCAAATTATGTCAGCAATTTTTATCGAATAACAAAAATTCCTTAAAGATCAAGCAAAAGAATCAGGTAATATATTAGCAGCTTCATTTTACGTTTAAATTTTTAATTGTTTATATTTATATCAATAATGTAATACACAAGAATTTATTATTCTCATTTATGCATATTAATATGTATGAATTAATTTTTAGGATTAACTATTAAACAACCAGCATTAAATTTACCTGGAAAAACGAGGTTCGGGAGTATTTTTTTCTGCCTAAATATCATTCAAATTAATAGGTCGGCTCTTCGTGAAGTTTGCATAGATGTCACTTTAAAAGATGTCGTATTGAAAACTAATTTTTGGAAAATTTTATGCGAGTGCGTAATGCTCTTAAAACCAATCATTTCTTGGCTTCATATAATTGAAGGTGACGAGCCTCGAATAAGTTCAGCATGCACAGCTTTTGCAGAAATAAGAAGACATATGCTAACGGTGTTAAATACCAATTTTTTATCTAACGAATACAATAAAATTTTGGAGGATAGGTACGTATTCTGCATAAAACCATTTCACTATGCAGCAAATCTTCTAGATCCTACTAAACATGGAGTAGAACTTACTCCAACTGAGTTACTCAAAGCGCAAGAATATTTAAGAACACTAGCTGAGTTTTAGTCTGCTAGTGAAAATATTTCAGTTGAGGAAATGTTAACAGACTGTAATATGTTTAGATTAAAAGAATGTATTTGTCAAACATCTTCTTTAAATCTAACAGTAAACAGTCTGACACCATATATATGTTGGAAATCCTACTGTGTAGGAAAATCTCGCAGAGCAGTAGCTTTGAAGGTTTTGGGATTACCACCAACGTCTGTTGCGTGTGAAAGAACAAATAGTATCTACAAATATGTCCACAACAATTGTTCTAACCGTTTGCTGACTGAAATAGCAGGAAAACTTGCTTACATAAAACAAAATGTGCTGTTCTTGAATCCGGTAAACCAACCTAAGAGAGTTATGCAAAACGATGTGGACAATCAATTATTTGAAAATCTAGACAATCAATTTGATTTGGAGAAAAAACTGTTAACTGTCATATTCTAAAATGCCTCTAAATTTATTTTCAAATATTTCTTCAGAATACTAGAAATTGAAAAACAACCAAGGCAACAATGACATAAATAAAAAAAAATAATCAAATTGTTTTTAATTTTTATTTTTGTGACATCCTTTGTAAGCTACAAAGTAGGAAACTATATAAACTATATCCCAATGGATTCGTTTTAAAGGATCACACGTGGGAAACTTTATAGGAATTTTTAGTTGGGATCTGAAATCGTGACGTATCGTGACGTCACAGTCATAGTGACGTTTCAATATGGCTTCCGTTGCAGGTAGTATAATTGTAAACATTGCGGTGCGTGATATTGAAATAATGAGAAAATAGTACTAAAACGTCAAATTGAAAAAAAATCGCTATGATATTAAATATAAGTGACGTGTGTGCATTTGCAAATGCAACTCCATCAACCAGAAATTTTCTGGAAGGTGAAAAATTATTACATGCGGGACATCTTCTGTTTTGCGGGAAGGAAGCAAAGGAAGACAATTTAATTAATTTAATTGCATTTTGCATTCAATCATCGAAAATAAAAGATGCACCACATGAAATAAAACAATGTAAGTATATATATAATATTAATATTTATTATAATGATAAAGTATAATAATTAACATTCTTATCGAATTAAAACTTTAATAACAGTATAGCAAGTTTATACAAATTTTTTTACCATATTAAAATTATTTTTTAATTTTAAGGTTATGTTATTGCATTTTCACGTATATTTCTTCGAATCACCGGTTTTTTTAAATTGTATAATTAATAAAAATTTATGAACTTATTTCAGTAAGAATACTGATGAGCTGGACTCCGTTTCCTGTACCGACAAAAAATGCTTGTGGGACAATCCTCGAACGGCCTGCTTGGAACAATACGAACCAGCACCACTAGAAACCCGCGATTGCTGTGCTGACAAATTTAAAAAGGAATATTCATTTTCAGTTTCCGATGAAACAAAAAAAAATTGAAGAGTTATTATTTAGTTCTAATCCGGATTCGGCATTAACAAAACATAAGTACGGATAAATAATTTTACCCTAACAATAATCAATTTGACATAAATATTTACAATTTGCTCGAAGAATATTATTTCTTCTGAAATTAATTTTTATTATTTTATATTGACAAATCTTCGATTTTTTACCATGGTTTTGTCTTTGTACAAATAATTTCTACTATACTGCGTATATTATATGAACTGAGAATTTTTGTTTATTACTTTTATTTTTTACAAATAATTTTTACTATACACACCATTTATCAATTATATGATAAACATGAACTTTTGTTCATATTTTTCTTTTTTACAAATAATTTTTACTTCATACAGAATTTATTATGTGATCTACGAATTTTCGTTTACTATTAATCAAATTTTATAATCTGCTTGTGTATTATTACAATTATTTACTCTGACCGACATATTTGTATACATATACATAACACGTCTTTCTAAGTTTACGTTCTGGCTGCCAAATTTTACCTGCTAACGAAGCTTTATTAATTTGTCACTAGGCGGCGCATCGCAGTGCTGCGGATCCCAATAGGGTCAACATACTAAGGATCACACGTAGGAATATACACTAGTAACGATTTAGAACAAACTCGTTAAGGAAGCTTTAAAAGTTTCTACGTTCGAACACTTGTTATTTACCAAGAGCAAGGTACGTAAGAACTTGTGAAAGAAACTTCAACGGATATCACACTAATAAAGAGTACTGTAGGTTCGAACTAGTGAAGGAAACTTCAAAGGATATCATGTAGGAACACACACTACTTACCAAGAGGAAGGTACGTACGAACTTGTGAAAGAAACTTCAAAGGATACACCGTAGGAACACTCATTAATTAGCAACAAAAAAGTACGTACAAATTTGTAAATAATCTTATTAAGGTTACCATGAAGGAACTTATTTAGGAACACTTTAAGGGTACTGTGAAGGAACACTTTTATACAACATTTCGTAAAAAGGATAGGGCACCCCACTACTTGATAACTTTCGCCACAAGAGATCGGGTTTGATGGAGGGGAAAGCATTGACAAAATCAACAAAAAGTGTATATAATTTACCTTTTTCTATACTCAATTGTATTTGAGGTAATGAATTTAAAATGAAGATGTTGTCAATGCATTTTTTTTCGATAGTCTGATTGGAGCTCAGGTAACATTCCGTGTTCATTGGCCCATTTTACCAGTCTTTCATTCAGGATTTGAGTGAAAATTTTTGTAATGCAATTTGTAAACGAAATACATCGGTAATTAGCGGGATCACCTCTGTCTCCTTTTTGGTGCAACATGACCTTTGTAGTGGTGACTCTTTCTCGTTCGTCAGTATCTTCGATTCTATATACAGAATTAAATTAGACGCTATAAGCAATTTTTCATGAATTTAAAGTAAAGTCTTAATATAAGTTTCCCTTTTAGTTCCATTCCTTTATGACGAAAAAAAATATATAAATAATTTTTAGGACGAAAAACTATAAATATTAATCTCGAAAATTTAGATATATCTAATGCTACACAAAATAAGATTTATATGGGATACCATATGTGACGCTCCACGAGAGAAGGGACCTAACGTGCTTTTGACTTAAAGTTCATTCACTGTGTCATTGCACGGTAAAAGCGAACCTTAAGTCAAAAGCACGTTAGTTCCCTTCTCTCGTGGAGCGTCACATATGGTTTCCTATATAGGAGTGGGGTTTTACATAGTTTTTGATATAGTATCCCATGTGGGGATTTTCAATAGGGAGCCATCAGTGACAGTGAAGGGGTTAATTGTAAATTTTATTCCTTATTTATAAAGTTGTTCCAATTCAAGGAAAAGCGATTTCAATATAGCATTATTTTGAAATTGACTTCTGTGTCTCGATCGAAAAAGTAATACTAGAAAAATGCATTTCAGTTTAGAAATTAAACTTGGTAGTAAACATGTAATTAATGCATAAATTGCACCAAGATTATTTTTTCCCGAATGAGAACTTAGAGAATTATCAGTTGCAATGTTGTCAAAGAAAAGAAAAGTAGGTAATTCCAAACGACCATCTAGTTCGAATCTGTTTTTTCAACGAGAACGTTGTACAAAATCCAAAAAAATTTGATTCACATTCTTTAAGAATTTTTAGGTAAGCTAATGTTTCCTTTAAAAATCCTGATAAATTAAAGAATTTTTCTAAGCTAACAAAAACAGTCTGTCAAATAATTGCATCTACATAAAAGTCTTTTTTCCGAAACAATTCAAATCGCAAATGTTCTGTTGCTACTATTTTAAAAGGATTTTTGTTTTCCTCAAACATCATTGAAATTTGGTTTACGATGGACTGAGGATAATTCAGCAGTTTTTTTTATATTATGCTTCCTAAATATTTTATTTATTTATATATAATAAATTATAAAATACTTCTGTTTACCAATTAAGTAAAAATTTTCCACTAATTACTCCAGAAATACAATCAAAATCCGGTAACAGCTATGAGAAATAAATAATTTTAATATAAAGTCTAGGTATAATTTTACTTTGTTAATAAAGAAAATTCTTTTTACTAGTTTGATACTATCACTTCCTTGCAAGTATTTAAATATATTATAATAATCATCTATGTTGCAATTTTTATAAAATAAGCGAGCGTTAAATGTTTTCGTCCACACATTGGGTGTTTTCGGCATTCACTCAGAGTTAACTCTAGAGTTAACAGTGGTGCTCAATGATATTATCTTTGAAAATTTATTTACCTAAATAAAATAATTGATTTTCTATTTTCATCACCCTGAGTTTGAAGTTAGTTGTCCTTGTTTGCTTACTTTTTTTAATTTATACGTATTTTTTGTTTTTCATTTAAAAATGGAACATATTTTTGCTACCCATAAACGTGTTATTTTTTTAAAGTTTATAGTTTTCAAATTTTTCATTATTTCCCTAACTTTAATTAATCTGAATTGTTTAAGGAACTAGATTATTTATTTTAATTAAAGTTGTTTTTTATAAATAAAAAGTTAAAGTAATTTTTAATAAAAATAAATTATTATGTTTCAATTTACACTTTTCAAAACAAACAATCCGTTCACAAATTTTGTCGGACATTAAAGGTTAGGACTGACCCTTTTTCTTTACTCTCGCAAGAAAACAGAGTTAACTGTGGGCCGTCTTGTAATAAATTTTTGGGGACTTTTATGAAATCTAGAAACAAAAAATTTTATTTTAACATTGCATTACTAGAATAAAAGGCCCGTTTCACATGTTGTTACAATTGCAAACCCTGCGCCAATCAAAATGAATCGTCTATGCCAAATTGCCAATCAACAACGTTCACAACCAACAGACGAACTGAAAATCAAAATTTACATTTGAGCACCACTGCTAACTCTAGAGTTAACTCTGAGTGAATGCGGAAACACCCATTGAGTACTAAATTTTTCAATCCTCTAAAGCTTAAAAGTACCGTTAATAATTGTGAGTTAATTTGTTCCACACTTGCGACTGGGTTTATAACCAAAATTAATCGTCTGTATTAAACGATTCTAATTGAGAGAACTGTGCAGAAGTAAAATCGTTTCCTTCCACAATGCTTTCGTCAGGAAGACTGTCAAAATTCACTGAACTGTTTTGATTTGATTTCTCTAAAGAAAGACGACCGGACTGTGCAGAATCATTTATAATTTCTTTTGCAATACATTTTTAAAGAAGAGTATAAAAATTCGACGAATAAATAATATCTTTGGACGAAGTGTCATGATTTTTTTCAAGGATTTCCCGATTTCTTATAAAAATACATTGATCATCAATTTCCGGTACTAATTTGTTAATATGATCGTTCGACAAATAAAAGACATATTTAGAATTTATTCCATACAAAAAATTAAATTCAATTAGAAAAATGCGTAAAAACAAAAGTAATGTTTAATTACACATAGTAAACATAAGTGTTTTTAAGGTTATCTTATCAATAACATATAAAATATACTTAAGTTTAAATGTAAATGTAAATAGATTAAAGATTAAGTAAATAAACAATTTCTTTTATAAACAAATTTGGTTTCTGTCCGTGGGCGATTGTGGAGAGTTCTCAAGTCGAGGTCAATTATCTAACTAATAAGTAAATTTGTTAACAATTATTATTTTTATTTATGTAAACTGCCGAGGCAGTTTCAAATGGAAAATAAAATGCCGCTCGCAGCCGAACAACACATGGAATATCATCACCTTTCATCCAATCAAGTAGCCAGAATCGCCACTCCTGCTCTGTTTCGTCATACTCGTTTACCCCTTTTTCGAAATATAGACACAAAACTATTCAAATTAAACCCCAATTAATTTGAAACACTGTCACCAATTCTTATACCCTACCTAAAAATTGTCACCTATCAAATATACAATTCTGATGATAAAGAGATTCTGTCAACCTTATGAATTCTTTAAGATTTGGAATTAGAAAATTTGAGACATTTAAAAAGGAGAAATTCTTCGTCAATTCTCTATCGTAGTCGAGACCACTGTTACACAGGCCCGAGTTAATTGTCACCCAAAATTTACGTTGAAACGTAAGTTCAATTCTCTGATAAAACGAGAAAAATCATGGCTGAGATTACTCAAAATTCCTGAAAGTGAACGGCGAGGAAGTTAAGGGTAAAGAAAACGGAGTTTAGGAAGCTGAAAACTGAAATCAAAAGTTGTAAATGGCCATCGACTTTCTTCGGCAACTACGCACCTGACTCTAGCGTAGTAATACAAGATATTTGGAAATTCAAATGGGAGAAATTGAGGGGTATGAGCGAAGCAGCGAGCTGGCTACGAGGATTACTTCCGATCTCTTTTGGTTCTGCTTTCGCCAACTATGGACGGATTTTAAATCAACTTCAGGAACTATAAGAGGACCAGAAATTGTTAAATTATTATTATTAGTATATCGTGGGATTAGTAAATTTTCAACTTGTGTGAATTTTAGGTGAATCTTCTTCTTTCAGAAGGTCGAGGCAGTATTTCTTTTTTTTGTGATTTAGTGAAAAATGTAGGGTCAACCGGGGTAAATCCGAACGCTTTTAGTAAGTTTCAACAATAACATAAGTTTTTTCTTTAAAAAAAAATACTTCCGGTATTCTGGTGCATGAAGTTGTTACTTTACTTCCATAGAACAATTTTATGGGGTAGCAAAAATTTTTGATAAATTACAATCGCAGGAAACTTAGCGTTCGTATTTACCTCGATACTTTGCAACTTTCCTAAAATACCGGGGTAAATACGAACGCCACTGTATTTCAGAAAAATCTTAGGGAAAATAAATTTAAAGTATTGCAATTGTTAAACTTATATAAAAACTCAAAAAAAATACGATAATAAACCTATTATGTAATAATGCATCATATATAAATACAAAAATTAAACAGGTTAAAAATTAAAATGCATTACACAATTAAAACCTTCAATAACTTTATCAAATCATAACGGATTTTTGCAAAACTTGGTACAGAAAGTATTTGGAGTGATTGAATGTAAATACAAAAATAAAAGTCAAATTTTTTAAATTCAAAATGGCGGACTTTCCTAAAACTTATTTTTAAAAATGATCAAATTTGCTAACTCCAAATTCGTAATCAGCGACCCTGAAACCCCCCGAGTAACAATTTTCGAGCGAATCCAATGAATTTTTTAATTCTCGTCCGCCATTTTGAATTTTGAAAAACTGACTTCAAATTGGTAATTAGCGATCCCAAAAACTGTAGAATACCAAATTTTATTAAGATCCTGAAAAACTTTTTTCAACAAACCATTTGGCAAAAAAATTGAAACACTCCTTCGAGAGAACAGAGATTAAGTTTCTGCTTATTAATTACTAACGAGGATACGTATAGAAAAAATAACTTTTTTCTATGTACTTTTATAATGTTAAAATAATAGTGTAATGAAATATAAACAATTTTGTGTGGCTCTGATGTAAAAAAAAATTATTGAAAATAACGTTCGGATTTACCCCGGTTTTCCAATTTTCCTGGGTAAATACGAACGGTCTGATATTATTAATAAAATTTTACAGAAGGCAAAAATCAAAAATAGTTTCTGTTCTAGTATTCATAACAAACAATTATAAATAATAAAATAAATTTTTAGCTTCTTTTTCTTCAAATACGAGACACAATACTGAAAGAGTGTCATCTTTGATTTTCAATCTTTTTTGCAATACTCGTTATCTTTGTTTATGCTGTTGCTAATTAACAAACGAAAAATGGGATAATACTTAGAATCTCTTGAAGAGGATCTGAGGTAAAAATTCTCATATCGAACTTATTTTTAAAAATTTTAATTAAGCTGAAATAATTAGCGTTCGGATTTACCCCCCGTTCGGATTTACCCCGGCTGACCCTAAGTTTGAACTTTTAAAATTTTATAATTTTCTTTCATGTAAATTGTCTCAGTGGTTCGGCCGACCGCATGGTCGATGGAAGCAATTAATTAATTACTAGTTTGCGTCTTTTGTTTAATTTTAGTAACTTTCTTGTTTATTATTTCATTCTTTTTATTTAAAATTTTTTATAATTCTTCCTTCGACCATGTGTTCGTTTTTGTTCTCGATTTTTGGTTTCTTTAATATTTGTTTTCTCATTTATTGTTAAAGTTACCTTCCCCAATTTTCATTAAAATGAAATTTATTTATTTTCCCCCTTTTTATCTCCCCGTTACCAAAAACTGTGACCTTATTTGTAAAATGTTTTTATCATCTTTAATTAAACCCAGCTGACCACTTTATTTAAAACTGATTTGTGACCTTAATTTGAGAACTTTTAAGCCAAAGAGCATTACAATTAAGTAAAATTTTGTGATTTAGTATTGTTTTCCGAAAATTGCTGAATTTATTTTAAATTTATTTAAAATTTTAAATTTTAAATTCTTTTTTCAGAAATAAAAGGAGGACCAGCCTCTTCCATTTCTTCTTCGCACTCTTCCAATATAGGTATATCCATTTATTTTAACATGAATAATAAAATTTGACCAAACATTTTGAGAATTTTCTACATTTTATTTGCAAACTTTCAGTAAAAATAAAATTTTAATAAAATTTACACATTTGTTATTTCGTCTAGGGCTTCAATGAGTTCATTGAAGTCATTCACAAACCACAAAGCACGTGATTTTACAACATCCCTGACAATATTTCCACCGAATCCTGAAAAAAGACAAGTAATTTTATCATTTCGAAACGAGAAGGTAATCATAAATAGAGAATAATAAGTTTTTTAGATGAAATTGTTATTAAAGTACATGCGTTTTAAATACGTAAGGCGGAGGGGAAAAGGGGATCTGGTGAGCGCCCTACTGAAAATCCCTGTATAAGATCTTGTACAATTTCCTGTACAGGATTAGCAACTGAACTTTTACAAGTTCTGACCAGTTCCTGTACAGGAAAATGCATACGAATTTGGAACAAGTTCATGTGTGAAATCTTGTACAAGATCTTGTACAAGAAAGATACTTGTACAAGAAAATGTACATGATCTTGTACAATTTTATGTATAAGTACTTGTACATGAACACGTTCATGTTCTTGCACATGTATAGTTGTAAAATTTTTTTTTTTTAATAAAATTTGAGATTTTGATCATTTTTAACCACTAAGATTCGTAACTCATGCATGCTAAAAACTATTGCGCAGCTGTAAAGGTTAAAATAAACTATTGCGCAGCCTTTGAAGTTTTTAATTTTTAGTAAAGAAAAACATGAATTAACGTATGTGCAAGAACATGGACGTGTTCATGTACAAGTACTTATACATGACATTGTACAAGATCATGTACATTTTCTTGTACAAGATCTTAAACCAGATCTTGTACAAGATCTCACACATGACCTTGTTCCAAATTCGTATGCATTTTCCTGTACAGGAACTGGTCAGAACTTGTACAAGTTCAGTTGCTGATCCTGTACAGGAAATTGTACAAGATCTTGTACAGAGATTTTTTGTAGGGCGACATCAGAGCTATGCTAAAGACTTTTGTTTGAAGGCGCTGTGGGCCCCTTAGTTTTCGCGTGAGAAAAATGACCGAAAAAAGAAAGGAAAATTATTATCTAACGAATGAAGAAATGAGTGGAGCATTAAAAAAATTCAAAAATAGTTAAAGAAAAAAAATATAAGATATAATATTACAGTAATATTAAAATATCCGCCTGATGGTGATATTACCAAGTAATATTACTGTAATATTACGGTAATGTTACAGTAATATTACAGAATGATTTCAGTTACTCATAAAGCATCACAATCATAAATATATTGTAAGTCAGTGTGGCTTGTTGGTAAAACTTTGAACTTGTGTGCCTTCAGTTCGGGGTTCGATTCCCCGGTTGGGTACATTTTTTTCGTGAAATAATATTCTTCTAATATTACTGCAATATTCTCGTGTATTATTACCTTAATATTACGGTATAATATTACTGTAATGTTACTGTAATATTACAGTAATAATGACTTAACCACTTGAGCGTCATGGCGTTCCAACTGGCGTCGTGCGTGGCAGTGACAGAAGCGTCAAAAATGCATAAATGGCGTTCCTACTTGAATTCAATTTGTAAAGTCTGTAGACATAATTAACTAACTATAACTTACTTTTTATATTTTTTGAGATTAAGCAAGACGTATGTGACACGAAAAAATTATTTTTTTAAACATTCAAACAGTTTTTTCGAAATTTAAAGTCAACAATTTTTGGTACTTTTTTGCGAATGGCGTTCTAACATTTACTCAATAAAATTATATTTCTGCTTCCAAAAACTGTGCAAACCACCCAAATCTTGTTACTCGGGGATTTTCGGGATCGCTGAACATGAATTTGATGCCAAATTAACAATTTGACAGTTGACAGCTGTCAATTCAACTGTCAACTTCTATAAAAAAAAGATTATTTTTTATGAAAATAACTGTATTAGGGTTTTCGGGGTCGCTGATTACGAATATGAGATCAAATTGACAATTTGACAGTTGACAGCTGTCAATTCAACTGTCAACTTCTATAAAAGACAATTATTTTTTATGAAAATAACTGTATAAAGGTTTTTGGGGTCGCTGATTACGAATATGAGATCAAATTGACAATTTGACAGTTGACAGATGTCAATTCAACTGTCAACTTCTATAAAAGACAATTATTTTTTATGAAAATAACTGTATAAGGGTTTTTGGGGTCGCTGATTACGAATATGAGATCAAATTGACAATTCGACAGCTGTCAAATCAACTGTCAAATTTATAAAAAGTGATTAATTTTAATGAAAATAATAGTATAAGGGTTTTCGAGGTCGCTGAATACGAATATGTGGTCAAATTGACAATTTGAGAATTGACAGCTGTCAATTTAACTGTCAACTGTCAAATTGTCAATTTGATCTCATATTCGTAATCAGCGACCCCGAAAACCCTTATACAGTTATTTTCATAAAAAATAATCTTTTTTATAGAAGTTGACAGTTGAATTGACAGCTGTCAACTGTCAAATTGTCAATTTGATCTTATATTCGTAATTAGCGACCCCGAAAACCCTTATACAGGTATTTTCATAAAAAATAATTGTTTTTTATAGAAGTTGACAGTTGAATTGACAGCTGTCAACTGTCAATTTGATCTCATATTCGTAATCAGTGACCCCAAAAACCCTTATACAGTTATTTTCATAAAAAATAATTGTCTTTTATAGAAGTTGACAGTTGAATTGACAGCTGTCAACTGTCAAATTGTCAATTTGATCTTATATTCGTAATTAGCGACCCCGAAAACCCTTATACAGTTATTTTCATAAAAAATAATCTTTTTCATAGAAGTTGACAGTTGAATTGACAGCTGTCAAATTGTTAATTTGGCATCAAATTCATGTTCAGCGATCCCGAAAATCCCCGAGTAACAAGATTTGGGTGGTTTGCACAGTTTTTGGAAGCAGAAATATAATTTTATTGAGTAAATGTTAGAACGCCATTCGCAAAAAAGTACCAAAAATTGTCGACTTTAAATTTCGAAAAAACTGTTTGAATGTTTAAAAAAATAATTTTTTCGTGTCACATACGTCTTGCTTAATCTCAAAAAATATAAAAAGTAAGTTATAGTTAGTTAATTATGTCTACAGACTTTACAAATTGAATTCAAGTAGGAACGCCATTTATGCATTTTTGACGCTTCTGTCACTGCCACGCACGACGCCAGTTGGAACGCCATGACGCTCAATATTACCGTGTAATATTACAGTAACATTATCCGATAATATTACCACGAGGCGGACATTTTAAGATCACTGTAATATTACAGTAATGTTACCGCGTAATATTGCTGTAATATTACTGTAATATTATGTGCTACTTGGGATTATATTCTTGTTTATTGCTGTTTTGATTTTATGAATCAAAGCGCTAGCTAAAAACCCTATTGACTAACCTAAATAACGACTGCAAAGAAAAACAAAAATTGTCCTTATACTCTCCAATTCAATGTTTTTACTTACAGAGAATGAGGAAGATTTTTGTTTTCCTCTGCAGTCGTTATTTAGGTTAGTGTTTATAGTTTTTAGCGAGCTCGGGTCGAAGCCGGGGTCATTCTCCAGTCCTTCCCAAGGAATCCTTGTAAGATTCCTTGTAGGGACCTATTTTTTTTATCAGGATTCCTTGTACGGACCTAATAAAAAAAAATAGGTCCCTACAAGGGATTCTACAAGGATTCCTTGGGAAGGACTGGAGATTGACCCAGGTTTCGACGCCGGGGTCAATCTCAATTAGACGCAAGATGAAAGACAGTTGTATGTTTATTATTAAACATACACGAAGTATTTGAAAGGCTATATAAGCTAACTAAATAAATTTTGAGCATTGAGCTATGTTCTTGAAATAAGAAAATATAAGTTTTATACAAGTAAATATATCTTACTGTTTCAAGCGAACTGTTTTACTTGTGTCAAGAAACAAAAAAGTATTGAGTCAAGAATATTATTTTCTCATGTTAAGTTATTTACGTTGAGTATTTTATTTTCTTGGGTCAAATCGTTTTGTTGTTTCCTTAAAAACAACTTTTTAGTTAATCTAATACTCATAGTCTTGATCTAAGAAAATGGAAAGATTAATAGAAGTAGATACTTGTTTTAACTTGATTAAAATTTATATTGTTTGAATTAAACAATAATCAATCCAAGTGTTTAATATACTTGAAGTATTTTCATATTATATTGTTTCAAGAACATTTAATTTCTAGAAATAATATTATATTATCTTAAATGAAATAATTTATTTTTTCAGTTGAAATAGTGATATATCCCTATATTTAAACTTCGCTTAAATTCGCTTAGAGTGAAAATTTATCGATAAATTGTTAAAAAAATGATATAAAAGTAAAAAATAAAGATAAATTAGTGTTTTTGTAGATGATTTGTGGAAAAATCACAAAATTAAACATTAAATAAAAAGTTATTAATGTTTAAAGTGATGTCGATAAAGTGTCAGTTTAAGTGTGTTTTCTTTTATTAATTTTGAAGAGAAATATGTGAAATGTGATAAAAATGATAATTTTTGTCAATAAATTATTACTTATAATATTAATTGTAGTAATTTTCGACCTTATTTAGTGTTAAAAACGCTTATAATTGTTAATTTTTCATAGTGTATTTTACAATGTGTGATTTTACCGGTTATGTAGCTGTGTTGTGAAATGGGGATCGATATTATCTGCAACACGATTGCCGCGCGAAAGTTCCGATAGATATCGGGCCACAATTTAGTCCTATAGCTTTATTGATATCAGCATTTCATTAGATTATACGTGAATAAATGATAAATGAATTTTGTACATAATTAACGCATTATAATTAATAAATAATTTTTAAAAAATTCAAAAACAACTTTTCCGTTTTTTTTAATTAATAAAAAAAATGTTTTTACCTATTGAAAATTAATGAACTTGCAGAAAAAATTTTTTTTAGTAAATAATCATTTTTTAAAATTACAAAATTAATTTATTAATTTTCAATAGAAGGAGGAGCCATTAATCAATAAGTATTTATTAATTAATAGTAATAATTAACTATTAATATCAAAATTATTATTTAAATAATTTAAACAAATGAAAATAAATTAATATTTAACAATTATTAATCATTTAAAGTAATACAAAAAATTTTGTAAAAATAAATATTTAATTTTTTATATTTTACATAATATAAATATTTGTTTTTTAACTCTTTTATACCCAATTTAATTTAAAATAACCTACAATTTTTTAAAGGCTGTACAAATAATGATAGGATTTTCTTTTTCTTATATAAGAAAAAGAAAATCCTTAATTTTGTAATTTTAAAAAATGATTATTTACTAAAAAAAATTTTTTCTGCAAGTTCATTAAGTTTCAATAGGTAAAAACATTTTTTTTATTAATTAAAAAGAAATGGAAAAATTGTTTTTGAATTTTTTAAAAATTATTTATTAATTATAATGCGTTAATTATATACAAAATTCATAATTCATAATCTAATGAAATGCTAATATCAATAAAGTTGTAGGACTAAATTGTGGCCCGTCATCTATCAGAACTTTTGCGCGGCAATTGTGTTGCAGATAATATCGATCCCCATTTCACAACACAGCTACATAACCGGTAAAATCACACATTGTAAAATACACTATGAAAAATTAACAATTATAAGCGTTTTTAACACTAAATAAGGTCGAAAATTACTACAATTAATATTATAAGTAATAATTTATTGACAAAAATTATCATTTTTATCACATTTCACATATTTCTCTTCAAAATTAATAAAAGAAAACACACTTAAACTGACACTTTATCGACATCACTTTAAACATTAATAACTTTTTATTTAATGTTTAATTTTGTGATTTTTCCACAAATCATCTACAAAAACACTAATTTATCTTTATTTTTTACTTTTATATCATTTTTTTAACAATTTATCGATAAATTTTCACTCTAAGCGAATTTAAGCGATTTCTCAGCGAAATCGATCAAAATACGCTTGAACCAATCCGCCAACTCTAATATAGTCTTGAGTCAAGAAAATGCGAATATGAATATAAGTAAATACTTGTTTTAACTTGATTAACGCATAGTTCTTGAATTAAGAATTTAGTATTTGGCAGAAGTAAATATGTTATTATCGCAACCCAATATTTATTTATTACACAGAATTCCCTTGTTGGTTATCGATTATTCTTTATGAGTAGAGCACTTTAAAAAGAAAAAAAAATATCAAATTAAGTAAAATATTTATCCTTTTTTCAAAATTACTACTTAGAAGCATGCTGAAGGGGAAACGTTAGAAGATTATAAGAGCCCTTACATGGAAGTAATTTATTTTATTATTTAGTGATTTAGAATATGAATTTTAATACTGATTCTTACTATTGTGTTGTTTTAAGAAAATAACTATTTACCAATAAATGCATCAGCTGGTGGGCAAGCTTCCAAGTCGGTTGCTCCATCACCTACGTGAACTACAGTTTTGAATCCTTTTTCCTCTTTAAGGCGTTTTATAACTTCTGCTTTTCCGCCACTTTTTGAAGTAAGTTCATTTTCATTAAATCCTGCATATTCTTCTGCAAATATTAAAATAATATAAATTAGTTATCATAACAGAAACAGTTTAAAAAACTGCCTGTGTGGAAAATTTATTTAATAAAAAAATACAATTCAGATAGTTTTTTCAATCAATTTATTTTTCTAGGATTTGATAGAGACACTTAATTTCCAATCGTTTTCTATCAGATTCCCATGTTCAGTGCTAAATTATTGAATTACAATTTTTTTCCATACAAGTATTAATTTTGCTTACTTCTATGCACATATAGTAAAAGTAAAGTTTATTTAATACTAATAAAATAATTTAATAATTATTTCCCACGCAGCACTAAAAATTCCCTGAAGATTCATTGAAGGTTTTAACGTTAACTTGGGAATATTGAATCGCAAAGTTTAGAGAATATTGTTTGAATACTAAAATGTCCGCATGTGAGGTAATGTTTATCGTGAAAGTTGGCTAAATATGTAAATTATATTCTCATTAAATGTTAAATGTTAATAACGTAACACGATGCGCAGTTCTAAAGTAAAGCACCTACGGCTGCGTAATACATTCTTTTGGGCTCCCAAATCTGATAAGCAATATATATTATATATTGAAATATAAACCTATTTCCGCATAAAAAACTCAGCGCTAAGGAAATTTTTAATTTAAAAGTTTATTCAACTTTTCACTTTGCAATTCAATATTTCAAAGTTAACTTTTTAGCCTTCAATGAATCTTCAGGGAATTTTCAGTGCTGTGTGGGAATTAATATAAACCCACACAACACCGAAAGTTTACTGAATATTTATTGTAAGTTGAAATACAAACTTTGGAATTTTTAGTTACAAAGTTCAGTAAAAGTTACATAAATGTTAAACTATCCAATATAACCAAATGTTTAATATTTGTAAAAAATAATCAAATGATCCCAGATATTTTACTGGAAACTAATAAATATTTAAATATACATTGAGCTCTATATTTCGGAGGCCAAAAAAATTTAATGAACACTTTACTTAAATGTTCGGTTAAATTTCCCGCCAAATATTTAATGAATATTTCAGTTCAATGTTTATTCAATTTTCGCTCCAAACATTTGGTCATGTCAGATATTTTAATATTTATATAATCTTTATTGGACAAACTGAATACTGTGAAGTTTGTAATTAAATCTACAATAAATGTTCCGTAAGCTTTCGGTGCTGTGTGAGATGTTTTTTTAAAAAATTAAGAGTTTCTGCCGATTGCGATCGTTTAATTTTCAAACTAGTAGATCTTTTATAGAATCAAAACTAGAAACAATTTAATAAATTCGAAAGTTATATGAATCAAAGTCTGTACAACTTGAAACCCTTAAAGGGCGATTATATAATCTTACAAAACAATTAGAACTGGATATCCAACCAGCAGCCTGTCTAATCTTTTCAATGCTTACTCTCTTTCTAGCCGCAGTGAAAGCAGAAGCATAGAATCTATCTTTTTTAATGCAATAAAAACGACTAACCGATTTATCATAATTTTTAATAAATAACCTTGTACTACGTATAGACTATTCACGGGTAATGTTTTAATAACATTTTCAATTTGTCTAAATCGACTTTGCATTTTGCGAAATGCATAGAAAAATTGGGAAATACTTAATTATGACAAGGAAATTTGGGTATTACCTAAAATTTTAGGTATATCCCAATTTCGCTATGCATTTCGTTTCACCGGTTTTGCTAAAGTGGATATTTATTTTGGTTTTTTTAGAACTTCAGCAATCTTGAAATTTTTTACTTAACTATGTTAATTCTACGACTTGAAGTTAACGAATGAAATGAAATATTATGCTTATATTTAAGCAAGAAACGAAAACGATTGAAAATAATGAAATATCTAAGTTCCCATACGAGGAACTTTAAAAGAAAAATGTAAGTGTTTGCCGTTTCCAATTTACGGAAAACTCGTACTTGTACCAATAGATGCGGGAATTTAAAAAAGGGCACGAAAAGAAGCAGACTTAATATCATTAGATGTTCCAACATACAGTAGCACTACAAAAAGAGAGAGGTTGACTTCTTTTGTAGATATTCTATTATAATAAAAGAGAGAAAAAAAATATTACCAGGAATATGATAAAAAAATTTCGCTATTACCGAAGCCTCAGAAATTATTTATCGAAATGCAACTGACAAATGTTGGTTTAAATAAACTGGGAAGGAGATTTTCCAATGAAATGAAAATATCAGTTCTTTCGCTATTTAAAAAATCACCAGCAGCGTATGCACATTTGTCAAATTTGTTTATTTTACCATCAAGAAGCGTTTGGCAACAATTTATTAGTTGGATACAGGGATAAATTGTGCTATGATAGAGCATTTATCACAAGTATCGAAAGATTTTAGTATAAAAGAAAAACAGTTTTTTGTATGTTGGGACGAAGTTCACCTGCCTCCTCATTTATTCAACAACAAGAAGGAAGAAAAAATTATACGATTTAAAGATTTTGGAAATCGTAGGACAAGCAACATCGCCGACCATACACTAGTATTTATGATAAGATGAATTTCAGATGGAGCTAAAGTGCCTTCTTCATATTATTATTGTACTGCTCAGACAAAATATAATCAATCGAATGTATCAGATCAAATGTACAAGCGACGTCTCAGGTTGGACTATCGATTATTATTACAAACTGCGACCCATATGAAGGAATACAGAAGAAAAGGATAGAACCAGATGGGTTAATTTTTCCTTTTATATTTTTATTTATGTATTATTGTATTTTATTAAATGTTTTATAAATTTATCATGTTTTTAATTAATTTTTGTCTTTCAAACAGGACGCGAAGTAGAGATGGAAGAAATGAAGTAAAAGATTTGTAAGTTAAAGGAGTGAAGTTTATTGCCATCTTTGAAATACTGCATATTGTTAAAGATGTGCGTAACAACAATGTGGAAAAACATATTATACATCCAGATGGATCTACTGCAAAATGGAGTCATTTTTAAACCGCGTACGGACAGGATTCGAAATCACAAAAATGGTGAAATAGTCGGGGTTTCTTATATGAAATTCTAAACGAAATCTTATAAAGACATCTCTTAAGAAAAATCTCATTTGTGATCATATAGGATTCCAAATAAGATCCCATATGGGGTCGAAAATTGAAAAATAAAATTTTTGAATATCTCAAAAACGGTTGTCCGCTACTAAGAGTCTAGTAAATTTTTAGTAGACCTTGTCGTGGTGGTGGGGCTTTTTACTAAAGAACTTCCAAAAACCAAGATGTATAGTGGGGAGAAATATATATATATTGTGACGAAGTGGTCGTCAAGCATCCCCCGTTTAAAATGCCGCGCTCGACTGTCGGGCCCGGGAGGTGGCGCCGCCGATCGGAAGAAGGAGTGACTAGCCGCCAGGACGCCGAAAATCACATGTTCGCATCGAGAGACTCAGCGTTGACTCAATGTGTAGTACGAGTGTTGCTTATATATTGGGAGTGTTTGGAGAGTAAGATTTTTGGTCGAGAGTTCGACAGTTTTTTTTGTAAAGAATTAGATTTTGTTAAGCAATTGGTCGAGTGACCAAGAGTCGCTTACCTTTGTTAAATTGGTGGAGAATAAAGGAAAAGTTGATGAGAATATTGATCGATTTATTTAATTTGTCCCGACGAGGATCCTTGATTTGATCGGTTTGTGACGAGAGCTGTAGGTAAGTGGAAATTTGTTGTTTCTGTCGTGTCTCAGAAGGTCTTTTCCCTTTTTTCTGGCTGGTCTTGACGGAATCTCCTTTGAAATTATTTTCGGGGAATTAAGACGAGGTTTGTCAATTCCAATAAAGATTGACTGGCGTCTAACGATTCACGTTTGGGTTTTCTTTTTATAACACATAAAAAGAAGAGGTTAATTAATAAAATTTTGATTATTCCAATATTAACGTTATAATATATATATGGAAAGTAAAGAATTGATTCAGGACGTTTACGGTGCAGGAAAGAGATACCCCAGTGCCGGCGCTGTTGGAGGTGAGCAAGTTGGCTTCCCAGCGTCGAAATCCAGTGACAACAGTGCCAAAATATTGGATACCTTGGGTGCTGCAGCATTTAATACCACAAGGAAGATGGACCATGGAGGCACCCAATTTCTTAAGGTTCCCCAGGTCTGTTTGGAAAGATTTGGAAGAAAAATTGAACTCCGCTTTAGGCTATGCTGCATGCAACCGGGAGGACCAGAACAACAGGAGAGAGCGTATCAATGAGAAACGTCTTCGACGCGCGATCATGGAGGCGCGAAAGAAGAAACAAAGTACCGGAAGTCCGGAATAAACAAAAGCCGAAGTAAAAAAGAAAGAGGAGAAAGCACCTCCATTGAGGAAGAATGTCAAGGTGAGGAAGAATGTCAAGGTGACGAAGGCATCGTAGGCAAAGCAGTCCAACAAGTCGATGGATTCGAGAAGATCAACAGAGTCATGGTTGTCCGGTGTCACCGATGCAGATTTTCCACTTTCCTCGTGAAAAAAAATATAGCTAACTATTTTTCTCCAAGAACTGAACCATTGTTCGGTATATCGCATTTATTAAAAATAATGTCATGCAAATGTTCCAATAACACTCGCATGATTCAGTACAGGAAAATTTTTCACTTTCATTTTATGCCAAGGAACATTTGCAGAAACCATAAAAGAATACCACGCAGGATAAACATTTTTCCAATTTTTTTGTGCTATCAATAATAATAAAATTACACCATTGCTTCCTCATAGAGGAAGTATTGATTTAACGAAAAATTCAAGGTCGATTTTCAACCATATTTCAAGGATATTTTTTTCAGTTATGATGTTCAAGAACGGATACATAGGAGTATTTTAAGCCCGATTAAATAAGTCTAACTATTTTTTTCAATAAAGATGGAAATTGTTTTTCTGAAAAATCCACAATTTATTTTTGAAAATCATTTAAAATGACTTTTTAATCATCATCGTCGGGCCTCTAGAGATTTAAAATGATGAAATAAAATAATGTTATCCAGAAAAAATATGTAAATTGT